TGGACGGGTTTGTACCATGGTGACTTAGGAGACTGTTGGAGTGGAGGACTCTCTATAAACTGTGACCTCTCCCACCGTCCAGGGGCTTCTCCCCTGGGATGGTTTGTGTCCATGGACTGAGCACAACAGTCTCTGAGTAGCTTTTCCCAGGGGAAAGCTTCTTTGCAGCAAGGGCGCTCCCTTCCTTCTGGTCACCCAGAGAAGACATCCCACCTGTTTTGGCATCCACATGGGGCTGAGGATACAACTGGTTGCTCGATATTCTGTCACAGTGTGCATGATCAGACAACCACCCAGACTGGTTGCTTCTCTGAGGAACAGCAGAGAAAGCTTCCAATTAGTTTGCTGTGCCTGAGAGTCTCCTCGTCCAGAAAATTCACATCTGCGGGTTGGTTTCTAACATTTAACCCCCTTGATTGAAATTATGACATGAGACGGTATTTTCCAAGCAACGACTAATGTTTCAATAAGACGGACAAGCAAAAATTGACTGATGCGGGGTTACATAGGTAAAAGGTAAAGGTCCTCCCATTGATCATAGATTTGCTCGAGCAGGCCCAGTAACGTCTTCATTGGAGACTTTGGTGCGGGATTACAGAGCTATATAAATTTTTTGAACTCAATGAACAGACACAGTAAGTGGAAATAACTCCCTCTACAGAAAAATGAAGTACCAGTTTAGACTGAAAATAAAAGGGGCCTGAGACTGGGTTTGGTTCCAGCTCAGTGTGGAGCCCAGGATACATGTGCGAAGGCAAAGATGCATCCCCACACACCCGAGAGGGACACTGTGAAAACATCTCACCTGAAGTAGATTCCTCTCCAGGATCAATGAGTTTTTTGTTTCTTGTTCTGTTTACTTAGGTGGGGAGAAGGTCACACCGAGTACTGCTCATGGATTCCTGCTGCTGGGGCTCTGAGGGACATGTGGGGTGCTGGGAAGGAGTCCAGGTTTCCTTCCTGGTGCAAAGCAAGTACCCTTCCTAACGCAAAATCAATAGTGCTGCACCATCAGGTTCTTTTCAACAATCGCCACTTGTCTTTTCTGTATATCAGATCTAAAATCACAGTATTTTCCCTGTATTAAAGAGATTTCGGGGGGGGGGGGTCAGAGCCATATTACAGGTGTAGGGTGTTTGTCTTGTACTCGGCCGACCTGGGTTCAATCTCGGATATACCATATGGTCCCTTAAGCATCGCTAAGAGTAATTACTGAGTGGAGAGCCCAGAGTAACTACTGAACATCGCTGGGTGTGACCCAAGAAGCAAAAAAAATACAAATAAGTGTTTTTTTAGGTTTTAGAATTACTGATTTTATGCAGCAATAGGATCAGAAGGAAAAGATATGTGTTGCGTGAAGTTAGCCAGAAAAAGAAACACAAACAAAATGATGCACCCATCTGTGGAATGCAGAACACTGGATGCAGAAATGTACTGAAAAGGGTGTGCTTAAATCATCCCTGATTCAGTGTTTAGAGACTGTTATAGTGCATAGGATCAGAGACATTCCATCGAGGCTGGCTGCTTCCGTGTAGAAGAACAGAGGAGGATTCCAATTATTTCTTGATTTCTTGAGTCTCCATGTCAAAAAAATGTCGAGCCCTGCAGGTTTGGTGTCTAACATTTCCACCAGGCAAATATAATTATCGAAACCTGTATGGCTTTCCTGGAATGACAAAATGTTTTTTGGAGGAAGGACATGCAAAATTGACAGAAGTGTTGGTCATTAACTTGTGTCCATTTCTTTCTCAACTCAATGAAGAACACATTACGTGAAAATTATTCCTATACAGAAAATGGAAGCACCAGTTTCAAACAAATAAAAATAAACCAGAGTCTGGGTTCGGTTGTAACTCAGTATAGAGCTCGGGATGCATGAATGAAAGCAAGGCTGAATCCCCACAAAACTGAGAACACAGGGGCCATTGAAGACTCGAACTTAATTGAGTAATGTCAGTTAATGTTAATCAATGAGGTTTTGGGGAGTTTTTTGTATTTATTTGTTGGGGCAGTGTCACACAAAATAGTGCTTATAGATCACTCCTAGCGGGGCTGTGGGGACCATACTGGGTGCTGGGTATAGAACCTGGTTCCATCCCTGGACAAAGCAGTGCACTTCCCACTACACTACTACTAGGGCCAAAAAACAGTTCTTTTCAACAATGTTCACCTGTGCTTACATTGTATAAAAAAAACCTCAGTATTATTTTGGTATTTAAAAAAACAGAATGTCTTTAAATCTTAAAACTACTGAGTTTATCACCCACTGAGGCTAAGAGCCTATTACTCTTGGCATAAGGCTGTGGATTTCCTCCCTGCGGTGACCGGAGTCTGGAGATCTGCTGACAGCAAAGGATGCGAGGTGCCCCCATTCAAGCCACATGCTTGGTCCACTGAAAATCCCACTGGCATAATAATTTATTCTGAACATGCAAACCTTTCCAGCTCACTTGTAAACGATGATCCCGTTGTACTGCATCAAAATGTGGTAATACTGAATCCCACATTTGGGGTTTGATTTCTGAAATCAAACAAAACAGAAAAACAAAATGTAAGACTCACTGGATAGTAGAATGAGGTCCAGCAGATACTGGACATCTTGATAGTTCTCACAGTCCAAACAGGCCCACAGAAAAGGGTAGATCTTTTGGGTGATCACTGTGATGACCTAGACATTATCCAAACTAGCTTTTGGGTGTTGTATTTTGACCAGACCAGATACTGGGACCACATGAAATGCAGGGGATCAAAAATCAGTCAGCTGCCTAAAATGCAAGTGCGCTCCCTGCTATCCATGTCCTGATCCAAACTATTTTGATATGGACTTATTCATTACTTTAAAACAAAGGCAAAAATATCACTAAAAGGAACACGAAAGAACAGGAGAGAGACCATGTGCTTAGCTTGAGGCAGACAGGCTCAGATCTCAGATCCCTGAACACCTCGGGTACAATTCCTGAGCGCACTGCCAGGAGTTACACCTGAGACCCACAAGGAGTCATGTATTACTATGGCTAGGCCCAAAACCTAAACGACGATAAATTTCTTAGGTACTCAAAAACATAATGATCCGAGGGCATAGATAAGCATGGTGTTAGAGAGGGCAGAGGGGTTCTGAGTGCTCCAGAAAAGGGGACCCGGAGTTGCAGGCTCCACAGCCACCCTGCTGAGGCACATAAAGGAAGACCGAAGGCTGAGATTCCTATGGACTATTCTACACACCTGACAGATAAGGAAGATTAACGACAAAGCCAGGAAATTAAAGCACAGATCATTCCATGATGGACAGTCCAGGGGGGAAGAAGGGGAGCACGAACTTGGCACAGATGCCTGGATCCAGGAGCTTGAAGCCCTACGGCATCAAACAGCAGAGAGTCGGGCACTCAGACTCGGAGCCACATCCCACGTCTCCTTCCTGAAACAACCCAAGACCCGAGAAGCCTGTGCGCTCCTGTCACTGCACTGGGTCATCTTGTCATTCTCATGCCTGAGGATGGTGTGGCAGAGGGCACCTCACCACCTCCTGCCTTTGTTTTTCCTGTAGATCAGCAGGAGTCTCCATGGAAAGACCTGAGCCATGAGCAGCAGAGGAGCACAGCCAGCCCCGCCCCCCACCAGGAAGTCGCTGCATTGGAGCAAGAAATGTAATGACTTGCCAGATCCTTGGTCACTGGCTCACAGACCCATCCGCAAGGATACACTGCAAGATGCTCCTCCCTCTCCAGGGGACAGAGAAATGGGTTGTGACCAGGCTGCCTGTTGGGACAGTAGGGCTAGTCTCAGCCAACAGAGGAGTAAACTACAGCCCTGCCCGAGCCCCGGGAATCCACTCAGGGCCCTACAGGAACGTACCTAAGGCCATGGACTAACTCTTAGGCCAGGAGCTCCCATGCAGAGATGGCCCCTGCAGGTCACAGTGACAACAGGCCCATTAGTGGCTCTGCATGGGGGCAGTCACAGGGACTCAGGGTGGACAAACCTTCAGCTGTCCTCTTGTATAATGGGCGGGGTCATGGGCCTGGGAGCTTTCTTCCAGGGAACAAGGTCACTTCTGCACTCGGGTGAGTCCCAGGTGCCCCATGTCTGATCTGCTGGACCTAGGCCATCCTGGTCCCGATTTACTGTAATACCAAATCATCACATGAGTCTCCTCCAGCACTTGCTCCTGTTTTGCAGGAACAGCTCTGAAAACCATGTAAACAGTGTCTTGTATCACAAAACTATCGAAATATCCAGGGTGTTTACTATGAGCCATGATTTTACGTGTGTCTAACAACTGGAATTTCTGGAGTGGGTCTACTTTTTTTTTTTAATGTAGGAGTACTGCTATTTATTCAGTCACTGATTAGCTGATTGAATTGTGCATGAACTCCACCTTACTTTCTTTCATTTTTTTACAATTTTATTTATTGAATCACCATGAGAAGTTACAAAGCTTTCGGGTTTAAGTCTCGGTCATACAATGAAACACCAGTACCTTCACCACTGCCCATTCTCCACCACCAAAAACCCCAGTATACCCCCATCCCACACCCTCCCCCTACCTGTAGGGCAGATGATTTTCACATTACTCTACTTTGATCACATTCAATATTTCGACACCAGACCCACCATTATTATTTGAGATTTTACCCCAACACTCAGATCTGCTGAAAAGGCAACAGTAGACAATTTGTGTTCTATAGCTGGTTATGAAAAACATATGATGTCGGTCGGCTGTAGTAAGGCCATGTGATTTTGAAATTCTAAAATTTTAACACTTAAATCTGGAGGGATTTCTGGCAAAAGCCACTGGGTTTCGAGATTTGCTCCTGAGTCTCTGGGATCATGGCCGTTGAGCAGCTTGATCAGGAGCCAGAAAGGCCATTTGTGGGTGATGACTTGGGGTCTTGTTGGGGTGGGGAGGACAAGCCCGGCTCCACCCCCATCCCCTGAGGCCCAACAAGTTTCGTTACTGGGGGCCCAAGCCTGACTGTCCAATGGCCGCTGGAGGATGACGGTTACCGAGCCGCCAGGAGGAAGCAGTTGGAAAGACAGCACCCTTTCCCCCCTGGGGTGGCCCAGCAACAGCAACCTACTGCGGGGTCCGGACACATTTCTTCAAAAAGCTGCTGGGTTTCAAGATTTGTTTCTGAGTATCTGGGATCATGGCCGTTAAGCAGCTTGATCAGGAGCCAGAAAGGCCGTTCGTGGACGATGACTTGGGGTCTCATTGGGGTGGGGAGGACAGGCCCATCTCCACCCCCATCCCGTGAGCCCCAAAATGTCTCATCACTGCGGGCCTAGACCTGACTGTCCAATGGCCTCTGGAGAATGACGGCCACTGAGCCGCCAGGGGGGAACAGGCAGAGGGACAACACCCTTTCCCCACTGGGATGGCCCGGGAACAGTAACCTACTGCGGGGTACGAATGCAGTTCTGCCAAAAGCCACTGAGTTTCGAGATTTGTTTCGGAGTCTCTGGGGTCAAGGCCGTTAAGCAGCTTGATCTGGAGCCAGAGAGCCCGTTCGTGGGCGATGACTTGGGGTCTCATTGGGGTGGGGAGGACAGGCCCGTCTCCACCCCCATTCCGTGAGCCCCAAAATGTCTCATCACTGCGGGCCTAGACCTGACTGTCCAATGGCCTCTGGAGAATGACGGCCACTGAGCCGCCAGGGGGGAACAGGCAGAGGGACAACACCCTTTCCCCACTGGGATGGCCCGGGAACAGTAACCTACTGCGGGGTACAAATGCAGTTCTGCCAAAAGCCACTGAGCTTCGAGATTTGTTTCGGAGTCTCTGGGGTCAAGGCCGTTAAGCAGCTTGATCTGGAGCCAGAGAGCCCGTTCGTGGGCGATGAGTTGGGGTCTCATTGGGGTGGGGAGGACAGGCCCGGTTCCCCCCCCCCCCCATCCTGTGAGGCCCAACAAGTTTGTCACTGCAGGCCTGAGCCTGACTGTCCAATGGCCTCTGGAGGATGACAGCCACTGATTCGCCAGGGGGGAGTAGGTGGAGTGACAACATCCTTTCCTCCCTGGGGTGGCCGGGTTACAGTAACGTACTGTGGGGTCCGGACATATTTCTGCCAAAAGCTACTGGGTTTTGAGATTTGTTTCTGAATCTCTGGGATCATGACCGTTAAGCATCTTGATCAGGAGTCAGAGAGGCCGTTCATGTGCGATGACTTGGGGTCTTGTTGTGGTGGGGAGGACAGGACCGGCTCCACCCCCATCCTGTGAGGTCCTGCGTGTCTCGTCACTGTGGGCCCAAACCTGACTGTCCAGTGGCCTCTGAAGGATGGCGGCCACTGGGCCACCAGGGGCAACAGGCCAAGGCATGAAACCTATTCCCACCTGGGTTGGCCCAGCACCGGTAACCTACTGCAGGTACCGGGCGCATTTCTGCCAAAAGGCTCTGGGTTTCGAGATTTGTTTCTGAATCTCTGGGATCATGGCCATTAAGCAGTTCAATCAGGAACCAGAGAGGCCATGCCTCCAATTCTATAGCTGAGCCGGAGGTGGTTTGTGGGTGTGTCTCCCACATACCTAAGTTTTGGCCGTTTACATTCTTGGTTAAGCTTTGCCCCAAATTTTTGGGGGCTAGCCAAAGGCACAGCAGCAATTTTGGGGTATCTGGAAGTCTGAAGGCGCCATCAGGCTGCTGATGCACTCGCCTCACAGGTACTGATTGACCTGCTGGCGGCAACCATACCCCTTGGGTCTACTTTTAAACCATGAATATAATATCTTGTGGATTGGTGTGGTAATACAGCAGATAAAACATTCACCTTGCACTTGACTGACCCAGGTTCAATACACTAGCACATATTTGGGCTCCAGACCTCTGACAGAAGTGATCCTTTAGCTCAGAGGTAGGAATAAGCCACAGACAAAGAAGGGTGTTTACCAAAAATATTGCAACGTCAAAAGGTAACTCTAATGAAAGGAAACAAGAACAACAAATACTCAAGTGTGAATTCTGAGGCACCCCTCCCAGGTTGCCAGATGTGAAGAATAGTGAGTCGGTAGGTCCCATAGTATGAGGTGTTTGGTGTTCCGCTCTCCAGAGAAACAAAGACACGGGGACCATAACAAGTGATGGCAGATGGACCAGAGCACAGTGAACCTTTAATTCAGAACCGAATAGCATACTTATAGAACATCTGAGGGAGATCGAGGTACAGGACTGCATGTATTGTGATTTACCATTTACAGAGGTCAAGTCACAGGCGCTGGAGCAGTAGTCCAGAGGGGAGGACATTTTCCTTGCACGGGGCAGTTCAGTTTCAATCCCTGCCATCCCATATGGTCATCAGGAACTTCCAGAAGTAACTACTGATTGTGGAGGCAGGAGTAACCACAGAACATCACTGCATGTGAACCAAAAAGCAAAATAAAATGTCAAGCCAGAGTCACAACAAAGAATAAGACAGTGGTGAGACTTGACAGCCCTGAGCGAAGTGATTTTATTTTGCCTTTTTATTCAAATTCCTTTTTTTAACTTTTAATTAGGGAGACACCATGAGGCACAGTTGTAGACTTACAAAGTTCTGTGCTTGGGTTTCAAGTATACAATGACCAAATACCCATCCTTCAACCAGTGCACATTTCCCACCACCACGGATCCCTGTATCCCTCCCACCCCCCACGCCCTCATCCCACCCTGCCTCTGTGGCAGGGCATTCCCCTTTGTTCTCTCTCTTATTTGGGGTGTTGTGGTTTGCAAAAGAGGCATTGAGTGGCAATCATGTTTGGTCTATAGTCTACTTTCAGCATGCTTCTCCCATCCTGGGAGGATCCTTGCAATACTCTTTATTTGGTGCTCCATTCTCTATCTGGGCTGCCTTTTCCCCTAGCATGTGTGACTGGCCTCCAAGCCATGAAGCAAAATTCCTGGTACTAATCTTGGCAACTCTTGACCATGACAGCCCTGAGCAAAGGAGATTTTTTTTCATTTTATTCATATTCCTCTTAGTTTTCACCAGAAATCTGAAAAGTACATGTTAACATACATATCAAGTTCAAATTCGGGGACCCTGGCATAGACTTTCCCTTATAGACTGACATCACAAAAAGTTTGTTACACATAGCTAGGATTATTACCTCCCTGGCTGCACTTTTGTAGCACAGCATCCCATGGTACAAAGAAAAATGACTTTCTGAAAAGGGCCTGTTTTGACATTAAAAATTGTTATTAGGTCATTGAGTTATCTACTATGAATTTTATGATGTTTCCTAAGACCAGAAGGAAACACAAACACCTTCCCACATTATTGACATATATAAGATTTCACCCCAGTGTGAACTGCCCGATGTACAATTAGGCCGGAGGCCTGATGAAAGGCCCTCCCACATTCCTTACAAACAAATGGTTTCTCTCCAGTGTGAATTCTCACATGACGAGTAAGGGTTGAGGAAGAAACAAAGGCCTTCCCACACTCCTTACAAATATAAGGTCTCTCCCCAGTGTGCTGTCGCATATGGCGAATGAGGGTTGAGGATTCCACAAAGGCCTTTCCACATACCTTACATCCATAAGGCTTTTCTCCATTGTGAATTCTCATATGCATATTGAGGCTTGAGGAAGAAACAAAGGCCTTTCCACATACCTTACATCCATAAGGCTTCTCTCCATTGTGAATTCTCATATGTCGAGTAAGGCCTGAGGATACAACAAAGGCCTTTCCACATTCCTTACAAACATATGGTCTCTCTCCAGTGTGAATTCTCATATGGCAGAGAAGGCTTGAGGATACAACAAAGGCCTTTCCACATACCTTACATTCATAATGCTTCTCTCCATTGTGAATTCTCATATGCATATTAAGGCTTGAGGAATAAACAAAGGCCTTTCCACATACCTTACATCCATAAAGCTTCTCTCCATTGTGAATTCTCATATGTTGAGTAAGGCCTGAGGATTCAACAAAGGCCTTCCCACATTCCTTACAAACATATGGTCTCTCTCCAGTGTGAATTCTCATATGGCAGGTAAGTCTTGAGGAATTAACAAAGGCCTTTCCACAAACCTTACATCCATAAGGCTTCTCTCCATTGTGAATTCTCATATGCCGAGTAAGACCTGAGGATTCAACAAAGGCCTTCCCACATTCCTTACAAACATATGGTCTCTCTCCAGTGTGAATTCTCATATGGCAGGTAAGTCTTGAGGAATTAACAAAGGCCTTTCCACAAACCTTACATCCATAAGGCTTCTCTCCATTGTGAATCGTCATATGCACATCAAGGCTTGAGGACACAGAGAAGGCCTTTCCACATAGCTTACATCCATAAGGCTTCTCTCCTTTGTGAATTCTTATATGCTGACTAAGGTTTGAGGAATAAGTAAAGGCCTTCCCACACTCCTTACATATATAAGGCCTCTCTTCAGTATGAGTTTTCATATGCCCGGTGAGGGTTGAGGATCGAGTGAAGGCTTTTCCACGGGCCTTATATTTATGAGGTTTCTCTCCAGTATGAATTTTCCTGTGTCTAGAAAGGTATGAGGAGTAACCAAAGACCTTCCCACATTGCTCACACACATATGCTTTCTTTCCAGTATGGATTCTACAATGTTGTAAGAGGTCTGAGGGTTGAGTGAAGGCCTTCGCACAGTCCTTACATGCATGTGGTTTCCCTCCTGTGTGGATGTTCATGTCATCACATTGGGGTGATGCCGGATTCAAACCACGCCCTTGCTGCTGATACTCTTGGGGATTCTGTCCACTGTGGGTTTCTAAGGGAAAATCACAGTCCTGGGAACATGGGAAAGCTCCCTCACATTCCTTACACTGAGACAGGGTCAATCCATGGTGACTTTGCTTGTGGGGCTTTCGGTGTGAAGGACTCGCTGTAAACAGTGCTCCTCTCCCACATTCAAGGGTCTGCTCCAATGTTGGGTTATGTGTCTATAGACTGAGAATAACAGATTGCGTGAAACTTTTCCCCGGGGAGGGATTCTTCAGAATGAGTTTGCTCTCTCCAATCTGATCACCCTCGGAGGCAATCCTGCTTGCCTTGGCATCCCCATGTGGCTGAGGGCACAAATGCACACTCGAAACTTTTTCACAGTGTGAAGGGTCAGAGACATTCCACTCGGGCTGGCTGCTTCCCTGTAGAACAGCAGAGGATTCCAATTATCATTCTCTGCCTTAAGTGACTCCATGTCAAAAGAAATTGATACCTGCAGGTTGATTTCTAACATTTGCAACATACCAATGCAATTCCCGACAAGTGGATGGCAATACCATGGACTAACCTAATGTTTCTGTAAGACACACATGGAAAATTGATGAATGAGGGGCCATTAATTTGTTAAATATTTTTTAACTCGATGAACAGGCAGAAATAACTCCCTCCACAGAATACTGATGCACCAGATTCAAGATAAAACACACTAAATTCTGTGTTCATTTCTATCTCAATGTGGAGTAAAGCCGGGGATGCATTTGTTAAGAAAAACTGCATCCAACACTGCTCACACTGACCACAAGGGCCATTGAAAACATCTCACCATAGGCAGGTTCTTTTCAGGGTCAATGCCTTTTTCTGTTCTGTATTTTGTTTTCATTTAGGGTTGGGGTACACCATTCAGTGCTCAGCATTACCAATAGGTCTCTGTGAAACACATGGCAATGTGGATGGACCAGTTAAAAAGACAAGGCATTTTAACGAATATCATTTGTAGATAAGGTAGCATTTGTAGATACTTTCAATCAAATGAAAAAGCAAGGCATATACATGAAACATATTACAATTTTCTTTAGGTTTTGAGCAGAGATGTCAGCACCCAGTTAAGATAAGGGCCCTCAAATTCAAGCATCATACTCCAAATTTTTTTTCCAGCCGTTCCTGGCCCTGCACTTTAAAAATAACATGCTAGTCCACTGATATTTTCTGTTAGTATTATAAAATTGATTCCAAACTTGCAAATTTTACCGGCTCACTCAAACTCGCTGATTGAGTTCCTAAATCCCGAAGCCATGCATTGAGTTCTGAAACAAAACACAATATACAATGTAAGTATTCTTCGAATGGAGGGGCTGGAACAATAGCACAGTGGGTAAGGCATTTGCCTTGCACACGGTTTACCCGGGTTCGATTCCCAGCATCCCATATGGTCCCTTGAGCACTGCTAGGAGTAATTCCTGAGTGCATGATCCAGGAGTATCCCCTGTGCATTTCTGGGTGTGACACCCCCCCCCAAAAAAAGAAAATGAATTCTTCGAATGGGATGGGACATCCTTAAACAGGCAGTACAGCTTGAGGACATCTATTTGGTTCTCACAGTCCAAAGTATCCCACAGAAAAGGGAAGGTCCCTGGAAAGGATTGCTGTGAAAAGCTTGGCAATCCTACAAGACATGCATGCATGCCTCTCTTCCCTGGCCTCAGGGTTCCTCCTTTCAGCCAGGAGATCACCGCAGGCTTCAACCCAGAATGCCCTGAACCTCACAGTTATGGAGCATGGATTAGGGACAAGGAAAATGTGACAAGAAAACCGCATGTATCCATATAAAAATGGAGTAAATTACTGAAAAGGCATGAACAGAATCTTCACATCTGAAATGTTCTAGATTGTGGTTATCCAAGAGCTAAGATCAAGGTCCTAATTTAAGAATAAAATACCGGGCCCATAAAACACCACAAATAGTATAACTGGGGTCTTAAATGTCCAACAGGGGTTTGATCACAGCACAGTACGTAGTATTTTTTTCTCTAGTTTGAGATCCTCACCTGGGGATACTCAAGGCTTCTCCCTGACTGTGTACTCAAAAATCACCTTTGGTTTTGCTTGAGGATCATTATGGGTTGGTGAGAATAGAATGCATGTCCAGAACTTGCAAGACAAACACCGTGTTCACTGTACTGTCACTATAGGTTCGGCATCACATGCAATGTACTGAGCCTGTGTGAACTGATGCCTGAGTGCAGTAAACCCCAAAGCTTAACAATCCAAAGATGAACAAAGATGACCAAAGCTCCCAGATGGTTTTTAAAATAAACATAAAAGGATGCAGACAGACAGCACAGCAGGTCAGGCACTGGCCTTCCTCAAAGTCAATTAAAGTTCGATCCTGACATTCAGTAGGGTCTCTCAAGCCATCAGCTGTGATCCCTGAATGCATAATCCAGAGGCAAATCCTGACTCCGGATGAACCAAGAACCACTGAAAGTGCCCACGAGCACTGAAATAGACCAACCTCTGATGGGGTGAGGCCCTAAGAAATACATAAACTGGGTTGGGAGCGATATTACAGCAGGCAGGACACAGACACCGCACACACGTACAGGATTGATCCCCAGCAGCACACAATGCCCCGGACCACAACCAGGATGAATAACTGAATACACAGCCAGAAATAACCCCTACGTATTTTTAAGTATAACCCCAAACCAAATCAAAACAAAATAAGAGAATGCCCCGCCACAGAGGCAGGGTGGGCAGTGGGATGGGGGTGGGAGGGATACTGGGATTAGTGGTGGTGGAGAATGGGCACTGGTGGAGGGATGGGTACTCGATCACTGTATAACTGAAACCTAAGCATGAAAATTTGTAAGTCTACAACTGTACCTCGTGGTGTTTCATTAATAAAAATTTTAAAAAATAAAAAAAATAAAAATAAAATAATAAAAATAAAAATAAATTAACTGAAGTTGTGGGCCTGGTGCAATTGTTCCAGGATTAAGACAGCAACGTTTTACGCTGCCAAGCGTGTTCAAACCTCAGAATCCCATGGCTCCTGAGCACCTCTGGGAGTGTTCCCTTAGCACAGAGACAAGAGGATTCAGGTTGTGCCCCAAATAAAAGCAAACCCCCCCAAAATAATAGATATTATGTGTAGTACAAGAATTGATCAGAGAACTCAGCATTGGCAGGAACCAGAAACTTTCTTGAGGGACCTAAGTGATGGCTTAGCGCATGGGGAGCTTGCCATGCACGGGGCTAACCTGGGTTGATCCCGAACACTCAAGATTCATGCAAACCCACAGAGAGTGATTCCTAAGGACAGAGCTTAGAGTAAGCCCTGAGCATCGCCAGGTGAGCACCAACTAGAAAACCAGGGACAGAGCTAGAGAAAGAGCTACTGCATGGCTGTCCTCACCAGTACAGTCACAACTACTGTTGGAAACACAGTCACGGCCCAGCACAGGGAGCCGACATGGGACTGTCCAGACAAGGTCAGCCCCGCACTGCTCTCACCAATGGCCCACCGGTTCTGGTAGGTCTCCAGCATCACGTCCTTGTAAAGCTTTCTTTGAGAGGCATCCAAGCACATCCACTCTTCTGGGGTGAAGCTCACGGCCACATCAGGGAAGGTCACTGTGCCCTGAACCAGCATACAAAGGGGGCAGGAGTCAGGGTCTGTCCCCACCCTGTACCCTGGGCTGTGAGGCCAGGAACCCAGGGCCCTAGAGGGTCTCAGGGTCTGTCCCATCGGGAGGAGCCAGCCTCCACCTGAACTTCTGGCCAACGGGTCCCAACTTCTCTAAGACAGCTGCATCTATGAAAATGTGAGTATCCTCTTCTAGAAGGTTCCTGAAGGTGTCAGACTTGCTTCTGACCCCAGGGAATTCAACCACTGTTCCTATGAGCACTGCAGAGAGTAAAAACTGAGCACACAATCAGTGGGATCCAAATGAGTGACCCTGCTTTCAGCTCAAAACACTAAACATACACCCCTTGTATCCCACAGTCACTTGAGTTGCAAGAGCACAAACAGGTCCAGCACACCCGGGGACCCATGATGCACATCAGGCACAGATTCAGGAGGAAGCCCTGAGCATCTCCACTGTGGCACAAAAATAAATACGAAAAGAAACAAAGCAGCATGACTGTGTAACAGGACAGTGAGTAGGGCTGGTGATCCCCACCATTCCATAGGGTCCCCTAAGCAGTGCCAGGTACAATGCCAGAATGCACAGCCAAGAGTATAATCCCCAGAATCACTGCGTGTGGCTCCGAAAACAAAACAAAATACCCAGACACCAGCCTTTGATGCCCAGCACCCCATTTGGTCCCTGAGATATGTCAGGAGTCATCCTTGTGCACCAGTAATCTTTGAGCTACTGTGGTCCTAAAGCCAAATACAACAAAACTGAAACACGTGGCCTCAGACAGTAGAGAGCCGGGTATTCCGACAAGGCGGCAGGATCCTTCCTGAAGCAAGTCAGAAACAAGACAGTCCGGGAAGCCTGACGCTCCTGTCACTGCATCACCTCATTTTGTCACTCCT